GAATCTACAGAGATGATCCTGGGCCATACTGACACAATTCCACCCTTTCTTGGCCCAAACAGACCCCTCTTTTCGAAACAATCTCTGGGGGGTACTTTTTCTGCGCCTCCGCCTGGCGGAGAATTTTCCTTGAATTGGGACACTGCACCCCTATGGCTGAGTTCGGGCGGCTTGTTCTCGTATGTTCCCGAACAGCTTGATTTGTTGTTCTTCGGTCAGCCGCCCGAGCGCAGGGAACGTACAATTGATCATCGCTGGTAGTCAGTGACAAGCAACATGCAACATTGTGGCGTCCATGTACGTTATTCGAGACTTAATTCTTGGATAACTGGGCTGAATTTTTTTCTAGTTTAAACAGGAACGTTCACTTCTGTGTTATGGAAAATAATTAATGTCAATTTTGGAAAACTTCCCATTGTCTCCGACTTTGTAGGCCATCTCTCTATTTTTTTTGCAAATGTTCGAAAATCAAAATCTCTCGAGTTTTTCCGTGTGTTCCTGCAAAACCTTGACAAGGAGGTGGTGTGTGATCCTGTTCCAACAGCAGTGTTCTTGAGTTGTGTTCCTGCCGTTCGAGCGCGAGAACAAGAAACCTGTGTCAAGAACTGCCCGCCCGAACTCGACCTATGGATACAGTCCACTAATTCCGAGCAAGCCCCATTGAAAACAGTGTAAAATCAGCACTGTTCAGGGCCTAATAATATGCATACCAACATCCCTGAGATTTCAGAAACACAAATGAAATTATTGTTTGTCCCTAATCGTTAAATTTCTTTTTAATTTTTTGTGGGTTTACCAATTACATTTTTAATTATTCCCACAAAACAAAACCACGCCAGAAAAGTGAATTATCCGAATCCGACTGCAGCTATTTTTCAAGTGGAAACCTTCAACTTTCTCGGGCACATAGGCCAATTTTTCGACTGTAGTATTTAGCCATTCTGCTCTCACATGAAAGCTCAAAGACCCAGGGAGTTCATCCTGGCAACGATTTAGTACACAATCTCACCATTTTGGGGTCAAACAGTCTCCTATTTTTAAAAGATACTGTTGGGGCACTTTTAATGATAATGAGCTGGCCAGAAATTCTCACTTAAAGTAATGGTCTGAACCCCTATAGGTTACAGGCCAGTGAAATAAACTGCCAAAGCCAACAGTGATAAATACCCGAACTTAAAAAATTCAGGAAAAATACTTCCGAGTTTCTCAGGCGTTCTAGACGCACGTCAAATTGTTAAAGCCCAGTTTATGATTTTTCATTTTCTTTCAAATTGCCATTCATTATCCGATGACCTCCCAAGATATTTATTTCCATGGAAGGTCACCCCTAAAATGCAGTCTTAAAGGCCCTCGCCCTTTTCAAATACCGATGGCCACACTTTTCGAAAAATAGACCGTTTCAGACACCGATTCCTTCCAAATCTCACTCAGACGCAAGCGCTTAAGCTGGTAAGCCTATTCTCTTTGCCCGCCTGTTTGTCTTTTCTACAAATCTTGAAGTTCATGGGCCACAAGATGCTCTTTTTCGTGGAGAATTTGGGTGCAAATTGTGATTTGGCCCGCGCAAGCAGTTTTCGGCCTATTTACTGGCCTGCATCCGTACTGTGAGTAAACTAAAACGCCCCATTTTGTTCCGCTCGGAGTGGATAGTGCGCCGACAAGAGTTTGCAATGCGTTGGCCTACGGGAAATCTGTCCGCTGGAGTGCGCGTTTAAAGCCTGGGGTCGACAGACTTCGCGCATTGTGATTGGCCAACGCGCTGGAAACTCTTGCAGGTGTACTTTTGTGATACGCTCCTCTTGGAAATCTTTTTTGTTGTACTGTCTAACAGACTACTGCGGGTCATATTTCTTGAGAAGGGAAAACCGGGGAATGTCGACAAATCTTGAGCTATTGGCAAATCAAGGGCACAACCAAGACTCCTCACAAACTGCCAAATAATAGTGGTACACGTATCACGAACCTGAGGGCACCTGTCCCTTTGCAACTCACTCCGTTTATTCTGCTTCCACTCTGACGGCCATTGTATGTACTCCTCTGTTGTCGACTCCTGCTTGCTTGAAAGCGAGCCGAATAGCTTCTGCCCTCCTTTGAAGCTTGAAGCGTAGTGTAGCACATAGGCTACCTAGTCACGGTGCTTGGTAAGGAACATCAATTTTCATGCTTTTCAAATAAACCCAAAAATCTTCCATGCAACTTAAGTGGCTGTCGCGTCCCCCCTGCTCTGCTAATATGGGATGATTATTAATAAAATGCGGTACAAAGCAACAGGTTGAAGTTCAAAGTGCGCGTATAAAGTGCTTATAAATGTAAAGTCTAAACTCACACATGGAGTTAACAGGGTTTTCTTCGATTTCCTTCGATTTTTCGTGTAAATATCCTAATGAGAAAGGAAATTGAGATTTACTTGAAAATCACAGGCATCCACAGCCTTGATTTATTTTTTGTTAAGACAGCGTTGAGTCAGGACTCTCCAGAGTAGAGTTCAGTGGTGCATATAGGGCGCGGTGGATGGCGGGGGGGGATGAGGACGATGTTCTCACCCCAAAAGAGCCTAGGGGATGAGAGAGAGGCGATTCGTTCATTTTCATTATTTTCATATAATCAACATTATTTTGAGGGCGGGTATACCTATGATGAAATCTGCTGTATACTCCAAGTTAGACATGACTTAACTTGCAGGTTGGCTCACAGAAGTCTTTTAAACAGNACGTCATATTTTCTGAAACTTAAACAAAGTGGTAATTGCCCTCTAACAATACATTTAATAAACAGTTTATCATCCACAGCACGTCTTGTATTTCTGGATTTCAAGGTGAAATTGAGAAGACAAGATGGAATGTCTGTATCTGTTGGCAGATTTCTTCCTGGAATTTGATGAAAACAAGTCGGCACGTTTTTACAGTATGCAAATTAGAATAACACTGTGGATAAGTTGGCCGGAACATTTTTGCTGAAAATGTTTTTCCCAAAAAAACACTTGGTTGAATTCTCAGAGAAGCGATATTTTCTTGTCAAGGGGCAGGGGTAGTCTAGCATTATTGGAATTAGTTATGTGACTAGTATATGCTTTGCAGGTGGGATTCGTACTTGCCTTATTCGGAAAAGATCTTTAGAAGTGAATGGAATCATCACATTGTCATTTGTTAAACCTCGGCTTTTGTAGGTCCTATGCAACCCATTTGATTTTTGATGGGCGACGGGCGACGCACGACGGACGACGCGACAGTTGTGTAATTTGAAGAAAAAACACGTCGCCTGCTGTCCTTATTAACCTCCCCCCCCCCTTTTTCAAATTTCTCCCCTGGGAGTACAGTCTGCAATGGACGCAATCACGCCATCAGTGTAATAACTGAATCTAATCCTACGGTACGACTTCTCAACGGGTAAACAAAACCCTAAAAGGAAGCGAATCAAGGAAATCGATTTGCCTCAGTGAAGGGCGCTCCTTACTCTAGGACGCGTCCCATACGTTTTTGTTTCACTTCTTTTAAGTATTTCTTTTTTTAAATCTTATTAAAGGGCGCGTAAAATTACCTTTGTAGCTCTATTAATTCTTCCTTTCTACAACTGAGTTTTGCTTCAGAAAATGTGAAGTTCATTGCTGTTTATTTATTTTGCCTTTCCACCCACAATATAAACCCCCTCCCTCCCAAGGCATAAATTTAATGTGCATAGTTGAATATACCGATAGCTAGACAGAAATAAATGTACGAACAATTACTCAAGACGACCACAATACGAAACAAAAGCATCGGTGGAAAGAGCAGGGATAACTCAAAAAGTTATAAAAACTTAGTTCCCTTATACTGTATGTTACTATGACAGTAGTTGAAACATATACGCGCTAGACACAAGTACATGTACGTGTAGTGAGTGGTCGAGCTCTCCAGAGTATCCATCCACATCCAGATCTAGTAGCAAGGAGAGGAACTGAAAAATGATGACATTTTTAAAACTGTGGATGGCTGTACAACGAAGCGAATTTGTTACGGAGAAAAAAACGGCAATAAAAAGTACACACGACTTGTTATGTATCTCCTAACCGGCGGGATCTGTGCGTGCAGGGCATGCATGAGCAGTCTCTGCATTGTGCACTCAGTAATGTGCGTGGCGGTCTGTTAGAGGACACAATGGCGGCAAGTAGGGTTCTGAACACGATGAACAGAATATTTACTCCAAGATTAACAGTACGACTGTCAGTGTTTGGAACAGTCATAGGAGGTGCTGTTCTCCTCAGGTAGGAACCGGCCCGCCTGGGGATGGCTTGTCAGAGGTTGCATGACCCTAAAACGTGGAGGATAACATTAGATCTTGTCGAGTCTAATTTAGACGTCATGAACGTGGCGCACTTTAACGTTTCCCTCAACTTTCCTCATCATGCGAATGCAGTGTTGCCAAACCTAAAATTCTCATTTATTTAATTACTGGGACTATAACCTTCAGAACACTTGCAATTGAACCTTTGTGAAAAATTTCCTTGTCATGAAATTTAGTCAAAACATGATGTGGATATGATGGAGGTAGGTTATGTCCGGAAATTGGGCCCAAACTTAGCTGAGCGTAGTGGCGCACTTTTAAGAATTTATTTTAAAGTTGATAAATTCTGACAAAACCACTATTACATCCACTAGCATACCCAATTAAACGTTTGTCTGAAGACTCTTTATTTTGGGGCACGTTTGGTGCATTTTCGTGATTTAAATTTTAAATGAGTTCATTGTGGAGTTTAAGAAATGATGTAATCTGATTTTTGAAACACTGCTTTGCTTGGTCATATCAAAAGAATACCATGAATTGATCACCGGGACTTTGTGTTAACTATTTACAATGTGTACAATTTGTTGTGTTAAAAGTTTTCAATGACCCCCCGTGGCAAAGGGTGGGATATTTTCATGTTTAAACATTTAAACAGCATGGGAAAGTTTCTAAACGTTTTTCAAATTAAACAGAAATTCCCACCGTTGGTTGAAATGTGTTCATCTTTCACGAATTTGTACTGCAAATATTTGATGTGACGTCACATATCTGCATTTGTGTTCATGTTTTCGTGAAGTATGAACCGACCTTTAGTTATCTGTATAATGTGTTGAATTTAAGATGTGATCATCACCAGGGACTACTTTGGAGGTGCTGTCTGCAAGAGTCAGAATCGTATAGAGGGGAAGACTGTCATCATAACCGGTGCCAACTCAGGAATAGGAAAGGAAACAGCCAAAGATTTAGCAAGGAGAGGTTTGTATCAGTTAAAGATGACTTCATTCCTCAAAGTCTTGACAAGTGATCTCATCAAAGTCCAATTCTTTGGCAACAAAATAGTTTTAGCAATATTTACTGATGTACAAAACAGAAATCTGGGAACCATTTACAAGCAGATATCCATCACATTGCATTTTGGGCTGGTAAACTGTTCTTTGCTACCTGTATGTTGTGTGTGGATGAAAAATATTGTGCTTAGCAGCCCCATGATTGATTTGCTGAGATTAGTGTGAGTGTGACTCATGTACATATAAACCCCCCAAATTCTGTTTCCTGTTTCCCTGCTGGCACATGTACCTGCTCTATTTTGACAGAGCATCCATAGTTTCATCGGGGAAAAGTTTGTTGAAAATTTCGAAATCGAAATGAAAAAGCATGGTTTTGTTGTCAGAATTTGGTGCAAAATGTTCAACACAACCAGTACCCTTTAACGTGTTGTTCATTTCATTCGAAACAAATGATTATGGGTTATTTTTAATTCGTTATTAACAGATTCGTACTAAATCCATAAAGTACCCCTGAATGAGATTGTCTCCCTACTGGTACCTACCGACCGACTCGCTAATCTTCCACCCATCCACCACCAACCCTTTGACCAGTTTTCAGATTCCATGTAATGGGCAGCAGAACTGCGGTACTTTTTGTTGTTTGGCTCTACCCCTGTTTTATTTAAAACGGGTAGAGACCAGGGGTAGAGGGTGGAAACCAAAAATGCAAGCACTAATTATCAGGGTGGATTTATTGGTGATTTCATTTGTGCCTTTTATGTACCTGTACATGTAGGAGGCCGTATCATACTAGCTTGTCGGAATGAGGTAAAAGCAGAAAAGGCACAGAGAGAGATAGTTGGAGAGACAGGCAACCAGGACGTAGTGGTCAGGAAACTAGACTTGGCGTCTCTGAAGTCCATCAAGGAGTTTGCACAAAAAATCATCTCAGGTATCTTTGCATTGCTCATGGACCAGGATAACTCATTTTGTAGCTCAAAGGATGCTATTCACCATGCAAAATTTAGACATACGTACTTGTCTCAGTTTCTGCCACTTTCACCCTCTGATATTGGTGAACAAACTACATTTGCTTCTCAACACAGAGAGCCAGAAGTTGAGAATCAAAAAACTACTCATGAGTGGCAGTCATGGTTATAGAGCCAATTTTTTAATTTATTTATTTATTTTGGGAGGGAACCTATAAAATTAGCCTTGCGGCTCACCACATGTACGCTGTTGGTTACAAGTAACTTTTTATCTCAAATTGCTCAGCATATTCACCATTACCTCCCCACCCCCACATTTTTATTTTCACTGATATTGATCCTTTACTGTTCTCCAGAGGAGCCTCATGTGGATATTCTGATCAACAATGCGGGCATCATGCGATGCCCATTTTGGAAGACTGAGGATGGCTTTGAGATGCAGTTTGGTGTCAACCATCTCGGTAATGAGTTCTTGTCACAGACTTTTGACTTTCTTGTCCTCTTGGCTTGATTCCCACTAAGAAGGGACCAGTTTCATTTGATCAAAGATGCTGAATATTTTGAACCACTGATAACATCTAAACCAAAATCCCAAAAGAAATTTGACATGTGAGAAGCAGCATTCTATGATAAAAAGCTTGCGCTTATAAATCAGAATTTTTAATAGTACCCAGTTCTTTAATATGTACATGCAGTTTCAAGGGGTTTGGATTTGTGCAGTACATCCTCTTATTATTTGCCCCTTGGCAGTACTTACAAGTGACCAGTGTGAAGATTTTCATGGCCTCACTCTTTGACACTTAAAACTTATTTTTTAACCAGGTCATTTCTACCTCACCAATCTTCTCCTTGACAAGATGAAGTCCTCAGCACCAAGCCGCATAATCACTGTCTCGTCCTTGGCTCACACCACAGGAGAGATAGACTTTGATAACCTCAACAGCGAGTCTGGGTACAGGACTGCAGATGCCTACTCTGACAGCAAGCTTGCTTGTGTGCTCTTCACACATGAGCTCAGCAAGAAGTTGAAAGGTTCACTCTCACTTTCTGAGATGATTGCTTTGAATTAGCAGATTAAAATTGCAGTGTTTAAATATGTATGTTGAAATTTTTTTTCAAAGGTTAGGGATGCTCTAAAAAGTGTCTGTCCGCAGTGAAATTTAAAAATCACTCTCCACTCAGCCAAATCTTTGAAATTGATACCCTTTTTACAATCTGTACAATGTATATATTACCCAACACAATATTAGAAGATTTAGACAAACTTTAATTGATGGGAGTAGCTGTCTCGTGTTATTACATTTCGTTTGTTTCATATTTGAAATATCGCACCTTGCTGTTCATTGCTTGTCAAGTTTATTTACCATTCTGTATATTCTATATAAGTCCCATTTGGTTACCAGTTGCCTGAGACCCATATTTTGTTCATTATTTACAGGCACAGGTGTGATTGCAAATTCTCTCCATCCTGGTGTTGTCAAGACACAGATTGGTCGTCACACCGGCGTACACAAGTCAGGCTTCTCTTCATTCATTCTCAGTCCAGTCTTTTGGATGTTTGTTAAGACACCAAAGCAAGGTGCCCAGACCAGCATCTATTGTGCAGTGGCCAGTGAGGTGGAAGGTGTGAGTGGCAAATATTTCAGGTATGTATTCATGTGTGATGCTGGGTGTTGGTCGCTTTGCCCATTTACCTCTTTGCCCATGCGCCACTTCATCCACACAATATTTGTTGTCAAAATTCACACCTTATTTCACATACAAATAGACAGATAATCAACCCACGAATCTCCACATCTTTTTAACAGGTTTATTTTTGGATTCATTAATCAAACATTAAGACCCAGAGAAATGAAAGCATGTAAAATGGTTTCTGTTACAGTTCCCTAAAGTGTTACAACAGCGGGCCGGAGACCTCATGAAAAACAGAAAGTTCCTAGATTTATGGAAAGGATTCTCTTTCTGTGAACTAACTCACTGAACTCTTTCTCTGGCTCAGGCTCCTAGACATTCCATGCTGTTCTCGCTATGCACTGTGTCTTACCAATACTTTGCATCAGCTTTTCATAAAAAACCCTGAAAGTCTCAAAATCCACTACATATCCTAGACTTCCTATTTGATCTGTTTTTGCTGGCATTCAGGATGTATTCAGGATTAATTGGGTCGTTGTTTTTTGTGTGTCTTCATCTCTTCAATTCCGACAAAAGCAATTGGCGAAATGGCACATGGATGAAGGGGCATGTAGGCCAAGTGGTAAATGGGCGAAGTTGTTGTGGGCAAAGTGCAGAATGGGCGAAGTGACTGTAAACCATGATACTAGTTCTGATTGAAGAGTTGCCCCTGAAACAAAATTTTTCCAAGAAACATAAACTGTCTTCAGTGTTAGCCATGACACCAGAACTGCAACGTTCATAAAAATCTCAGATTTGTCATGAAATGAACTACAATATTCATAAAGATCTTAGATTTGTCATGAAATGAACAATTAAATATGCCACTTGTTTCATTGCTGTTGTCTTTATAATGAATAGGGACTGCACTGAGGCAGACTGTCACCCCAGGGGGCGTGATGATGCAGTTGCACAGAGGTTATGGGAAGAGAGTGCCAGGCTCGTGGGACTTGACCAAGATGGAGTAGCACAAGAGAAACAATCATAAGAGATAACAGTCCAAGCAGGAATTGTTGGGAGTCTGGAAAGTCAGCTGTGATGATTGTAAGGATCCTGTACACATGGTGTTGTGAATTGTTTTCTCCAGTCAGCCAACAATGGAGTCTTACTATGGGTGAAACTACAGTCATCCTAAGAATGGAAAATTTTGTCACACATGAAAGTACAAGTGTGCTAACAGATGAACCCATCATCTGCCTTTTGCATGAGTGTCAAAGCAGAGTTACCGAAGTGTAAACACAGTGTTCAAGTAACTACTGAAGTAGGCAACGTTGACTCAAAGGCGACATTGAAAGATTTGTTTCGACTGCAGATGCATGCCTGCATGTGCGTACCAGTCTTGCTAATCCTGTTGGTCAGGCTGATGGAGGAAAGGAAAGTATGGTAGGCATATGTCTTTCCCAAAGGAATGGGTCCATGTGCTACTCTTACCATGTTATGACACAGTGTAATTTTGTCAAGTGTATAAACTAGTGTTCACGCAGATCGTATGCTGGTCTTTGGGGCATTCCCCCCACCCCCCTGATCCAGTAACTGTAACCTCACAGAAGAAACATTGAGACGAAAGGGTTGATAAGTTGTTATATTCTTGTGTTAGCTCTGTTCCTCATATGCATGTACATTTGTGCGATAAAACTGCAAACAAATTACAAAGATCACGCTAGAACTTCTTTTTTGTAAGAAACTACAAAGCAAATACTAATACGTGCTATATGTACATGTACATGCATTTTCCAAAATATTTCTCACAATCAAAACCCAATCCTATCCTTACAAATCAAGCTGTGAAATATATAGAGGACTCCTACAAGTGTTGTTTACAATAAGCCATAAAAAAAGAAATATAGGCACTCAAGCCATCCATTCTCAGCGAGACTCTTGTAGACTTCCAGGCTGTCTGACTTGAACATCGGTGATTCGTGACTTGCACACTGCCATTACTTCTTTACAAGTTCATTCATACACAAATGTACATGTAAGTATCCCTATGAAAGGTTCAGAATGAATAAGGTTGACTTTACATAATAACAACAAGAGGGAATCAAGTGCTTTACACAAACTTGCAAAGGGCCCCTAAAATAATAGTCTTAGTTGCTGCACAGTACAGTTAACATTACATGTACCCAAATATAAAGTCTAACAAACAAGGTTTAATCTCCCAACCTGTCTTTAACGTGTATACATGCACATGAAGATTCCACAACGAAAACTGTGTGCAAGTTACGGTGTGTAGGCCTACATGTACATGTCTTTAACTGGACCCAAAAAGAAACCCAAATTCACCAAATGGGAACCATTCCCAGAACCATATTTATCTCATATGGCAACAGCTGGATACAAAATTCAGAAGATAAAATATAAGGTAAACCGATCATTCTGTGGCTTTGAATGCACAAAAAGGGACGATAAACGTGTCCGTTAAAACATCCAGGCGTCAACAAGGATGAATTGTATTATGATAGCATGCACATACTTCTAGCCAGAGGTATAGAACCCGAAAAAGGAGAGTTCACATGTGAATGGCAAACGGCACAGATCTGCCGGCTTTTTTCCGCTATCTGTGGGGATTACTGTTGTATATCTTGCAACATTATGCAATCTCAGGGAATGCAACTTCAGCTATCTCTTCAGTTATACGTAGCATTGAGATGACTTCATTGCCATCACTGTCTGGCTTGTATTGGACAAATGGGTACTCTGAACAACTTTGCCACAACTTTTTTCTCCAACTCATGGGTTGCTTTGTAGGTTCAGAAGTTCAGCAAGTGACATGGTAATCACCCATATTTGTTCTCCACAGTAGAGCAGCAGCACAATTCATGCAGGCTAGCAACTTAGTGTCCGAGTACTTCAACCTCAACAATAGGTGGAATATCCTCTCCTGACAAACTTGGCATGTTCGAATGTCTGGAGCTGTATGGGAGGGGGCTGGGTTACACATGATGCAGTGGATGACATCTTATAAGGAGATCCATTAGCTGTCTCCCTACATTGGCCTTGGTCGGAACATGTGGACGCATTGTGGTTTCTTTTGGCCATCTTCTTGACACTACAGCTTGTGGTGTTATCTCTCAGTACGTTTGAACTTTCATTCGGTGTTATCTTGGCCAGTCTTGGACATTAGTAATTCCAACTGAAATATGTTAAACACCTGAAACTGGGCATGCACAGATGTTCAGAATGTATAAAATGCAGCCTCAAGTTCACATGATAGTCTTCAATATTAAACTGGTAACTCTGTGAAAACTGCAAATAAAGGATAATTTCAAATACTGAGTCCAGTGCGATGCAGGTACTCTACATTTAATTTACGTGCAAATAACGTATCAATGAGTGTCCTGTGCTTGTTGCTAAAACTCATAAACTCAAGCTTCAGACAATACACTGCTCTGAATCTGCAGTCGAAATGAGCTGAAATTTGATGGCTTCATTGGTTGACGGATGGAAATGTTTCCAGATCCTTCTGTAGTTCTGCTGAACCACATAAGACCTTGGGTTAATNAAGTGATGTTGGAGAACTCTGTCTAGCTGCCAGGTGTTTGTGCTGGGAAATGGGGCCATTCAGGCCGGCCGACTTTCTAGTCAAATTATTGCTTCTGTTGAACTTGAATTTTTCTCAATAGCTGTTTGACTTCTTAGATTTAAGTTGAAGTAGAGATCGAGCTACTGGAAGCATGCTATGGGGTGAGTCCTATCAGAAGCTGTATTGGGGACAGGAGGCATTGTGCATGTAGGTTTCTATATTGGTTCGTCTCTCCGTTTGATAGTTCATGGTAAGGCAAGGATGTGATATGCTGTAGGTTATACGTGTATACACCGCAGAACTTGTGAAACTCTTATCACTGAGGAAGGACATAGAAGGAGTAAAATGTCTAGTACTTCAAAGTGATTGATGATTGTTGCCGTCGGTTCTGACAAATAACAGAAAACTAAGCCTGCAGCTTAGTGGGACCAATATTATCCTAATGTTACTTGTGTTTTGCTTGCAATAACTGGGGCGTATTGCTGTGAGCGAGAAATAGACGTTAGACCTACTTTTGCCATCATGAATAAACTTTTTCATATTGGTTCTCTGTTCCTTTATCCATGCAAAGTTTGTAATTTTATTCTCCTCCCCCCAAAACATCAGTTTTCAAAGACTTGGTACAGATTTGGCTAAGACTGGTCAGCAACATGTTGACCACCACTGGAAAGGTAAATTCACCTCGAACATAAGGCACCACATGTATTTCATTACAAGGAGTGACAATGAGATCTCGAAAAAAATACACTTTTTTTTGTAAACGCCGTAATAGAAATGATTCAAACAAAACAACTTGGTTATTTATTACCAAATGACTTCAGAAGATAGCATTCATTACGATAAGGGCAATAACTGCACCTAAACATTTAGGGCTCATGGCCTAACACAAGAAACTGTGCAAGCACTAAATTTGATGTTATGTGATCATACCAAGCACCAAAGAAGCATGAACAAGGTAGAGGGTTTGCGGATACACCATGTGGAACTATCTCTTTGAGTACGTGTGGTTCTGAAAAGAACTGGTTACTCGACTCGAGTATACAAAGTAAGACTCTTGATGTGTGCTGCTGGAAGCTCTTTTACTGGTCTGACCGTTTCTGGTTCTGCACGAATACCATTCTTGATCGGGACTTGTCCAACATTCATGTACTTCACTTCCGGTTTCTTGATCTGATATTTCTGAAAGGTCAGCTTGATGTTTCAGTCTTTGTCTCTGTCAGCAATGAAAATGTCATCCATCATGGCTCAGGCACCATAGATACCTTCGAGCATTGATGCACGGAAACACTTTTTCATTTTTAATGCCCTACAGTGGTGTGTTGAATGTTGTCAACAGGCTGGGTTCGTAGCCAAGCTTGATTTGCAGAAATCCCGACTTTGTATCTGTGATAGAGAAAATCTTTGCATTGAGAACTGCTAACACTACCACTTCAACCGTAGGTATGGGTTGTGCTCTCGCATGGCTTTGTTCAGATCCTTGGACTCTGAACAGTCTCGGATCTTTTCATTCTTCCGCACAGCCCCGAATTGATTCAAGATGTAACTACCCGGGGAGGTGTTAACATAATAAGAAAGCTGCCAAAGTCAGAGCTTCGGATTCCACTCCACATGTATCTTTAATGCCTAGGGTTACTCGACTGTGGTTCTGGAGGATCAAAAGAGTAGTGAAACCTCGTGGAGTGTAAGAGGAGTCAATGATGTGTCCAAATACTCAAATATCTCTATCTAATCGTATCTCTGTCAACCATAATCATTCAGGTTAAAATGCTCCATGTAGAAGACATTGCGTATCTCTTTGAGGTGTATGAAAAAGTAAAAATCATACGAAAGATCATTAAAATTAGTCAGTTCTTCTAAATAATGATAAAAATAAACAGTAAACATAAAAGGTTATAATTTCCAGTAAGATCTGTCCCTGCTGTCTCTCTAATAATGTTGCTGCAGACTTAAAAATTCCCATTAAGACATCCTCCAGCTGTGTTAAAGAAAGTTGCATCCTCTTTGTTAGCCTCCCAAGTGATCTGTATTTGTGTTTCATCTGAAAGAGTGCATTTGTTACGGGAGTCATCTGCAGCTATTGCACGAGCTCGGTAAATAGGTCACTGCCTATAGATCACCTCAAACGGATTCATTCTAACACCGATTATCCTGGAAGCAGTAGCAACTGGAGATACCGTCTGGGCCCGCTGCCTTATACGTATATTCAGTGACTTGAATACCGGTCTTATATCTGATTCACTGATAACCAAATACTGCGTCTCTATCTGTGAAATGTCAGGGGTTGACTCTGTTCATGACGATCAAAACAGGCAAAAACTCATTCAACTGCTTTGGACATCTACGATCGTCGATGATGATGCCCTCTGGCTCTGTTTCCAGATCCATTCCTTCTTTCGGTCATAACATGTGGGTACAAGCTGATATATGCGATCCACATATCCGGGGACAATGTGGACAGACATGGCCTGCGGGTGATGAGGGCTTGAGTCGCCGCTCATGTCTTCCTGCTCGCTTTTCCTCTTTGATCCTGGTTCGCTCTTGCTGGAAGTGACAAACCCCTTCAGCAACAGTCCGCCTCCATGTGATTCGATCAGCGGCAAGGATTTCAAGATCTCTGAGAGGGATGTTGAAAGGGTTCATGGATTTTTTAAGGAAATCTTAATGCTTCTGGTCCGCCACGAGAACAGTTTCCTTCAGCCAGCTCCCCGTAGAAGACCACGTGGGGAAGTCGGGTAGTGTCCATCCGGAACATATGCTCAGTCCAACGAAGAACTCGACTGAGGAGGATGGATTTGATGCTGGCAGAACCTGCCAAACTTAGGATCTAAGTGTGAGGAATCCTGTCTTCCAAGGGCACTCTGAGTTGAAGGCAGCGGATATGGAAGGCTTCCAGGGTCTTAACTTATTTTCTATAGAATGTCCATGCTTCCATCCATACAACAGAGAGGTGGTGACGAAGACTTGAGTGATGATGCGAAGGTTGTGGTTTGAGAATGCAAGTCTGCGAAGATAGCCAAAATGCTTATTGGATCTGGTTAGCGATCTCTTTATTGAGTGAGGCGTCATCAGAGATGATCTCCTAGTTATGTTACATGTATGTGAAGGAGTTTATGTTCTCTAGTGCAACGCCGTCTTGTGCCCTGATGATTGTAGAGGGCTCGTTGTGCTGGAAGGAGGTTTGCTGGGTCAGCATCCGTGGCACATTGACGTCGATTCCCATTCTTTTTTATTGCTTTAAGCACGTGAATCAGAAAAACAAAAAACAAAGGGTAATACTACCACTTTTCTGTTCTTGTACTTTTTCACTACATTATTTTCATCGGACTGGTACATGTGTGCGTTGCCGCATGAAGAGGCTGAAGATGCTGCTCCGCGGCTGGTTTTACCATTATTTGCAGGTAATGTACCAGTAATTCATGAATTGGTGGATAAGTAAGATTTGAAGCTTTGAGTGGTAGAAGTTACATGAGATGTCGGCAGTCAATCTCTTTTAGAGGAGGTGTGGTGAACTGGTGAGTGTTAACTCGAAGTTTCGACCAGGATACTCCGGCGTCCTCAGGAAACCGTACCGGACTCGATTGGAGA